ATTTCAGAGAGAATAAGATGAAAGGTGATGGCCATATTGTTATGGTTATTTCTCCCGAAGAGAATCAACAAATGGTCACTTTGTAGTTAAGAAAGGAAGTGAGAGTCGTAAAACTCCCATGCTTACCCTCCTCCCTTTTCATAGTATGACAGAATCCAGAATAGAGTAAGAATTGGGGTTTTTTCAGAGTAGGTAGATAGAAATGAAATATAATTGGATTCTGACAGTAAATATATGAGTCTAAACTTACTTGAGTCAAGCATGCTGAAATAATTATTTACATTTAACATAGACTTCTGGGATAGAAAATTCTATCTAAGTTGCATTCCCATCCTTTCCATCTCTTTTGAAAAGCAATTGTAGGACAAGTAGATTGCCAAAGACCATAAAGTTTATTGGTTTCTGCTGCCAGGATTCAGTGTTTTTAACTCCCTTGAGTAATGAAGAAGCTATCTATCCAGACGTCTCTGATGATAAACTGTATTATCTTGTTAGGAGCAACATCACTCTTAGAAACTAATGTTACCATGTAGAATATCTGCAGATCAAGATGCTGAGGCTATCATTTTATAACAATGACAATGACCACAAATCATTTCTGTTTTGAGGTTATTTACTTAACAACTATCTTTTAAAAGGAATCTAAGAGGCATTCTAGGTTCTTTAAAATGAGTTCACACACAGAGACAAAGATATATCCAGGAATAATAAATTTACTTGTGATAAGACCAATGTGTTGAGTATGACCAAATGTTTATGTGTTGTTTATCAAGAATTCTAATTCAAAAATTGTACCCATAGACCAGGGGTAGGCAACCCAAAACACTCAAAGAGCCACTTGAACCCGTTTCCCACCAAAAACAAAACACCGGGAGCCGCAAATCCCTTTTGATATCTAAAATGAAGATAACACTGCATATATCCTTTTTTATCTTTATTATAGGTGTGTGTGTGTGTGTGTGTGAGAGAGAGAGAGAGAGAGAGAGTGTGTTTGTGTATGTGTGTATGTATACACACACACACACACACACACACACACACACACATTAAAAATAAAAGTAAAAATATGACTCTTGGGAATATCCATACTATTAAAACAATGATCACCGAGATAATGCTTTAAGAGAATAAAATTACATACACACACAGGTAAAAAAAGGATATATGCAGTGTTATCTTCATTTTAGATGTCAAAAGGGTCTCTCTCTCTCTGTGTCTCTCTCCCTCCCTCCCTCTCTGCCCTTGGTCTGCCACTCCTCTTCCCCCACTCTCTTTCTCTCTCTTTCCTCTCTCTCTCCCCCTCCCTCTCTCTCTCTTTCTCTCTCTCTCTTTCTCCCCCCCCATCTGCTGCTCACCTGGTAAGCTTCAAGTTGTTCTCCAACAATCTCAGGCGTAGGCAACCTCGTCTCTTTTATGACTCATGGACTTCAACTCCCAGAATTCCTGAGACAGCCTAGCTGGGCTAGCTAGCTCTCTCCTGCCCTTCCTGCTTCCTGCTGAGACGCAGCAAAGGGAGGAGCTCCGCCCAGAAAGCTTTTCAGCTCCTCGGAGAACAATGTGAGTGCACTCTCTTTTACACATACACACACACACACACACACACACACACACAAACAAAACACACACACACACACACACACACACACAGAAGCAGGGAAGCGCAATTGCCTCTCTCTGTCTCTCTCTGCAAAGGCAGAGGAGGTTGGGAGCCACAGGGGAAGGCTCAAAGAGCCGCATGCGGCTCCGGAGCCGCAGGTTGCCGACCTGTGCCATAGACACACAGACATACAAGATAATGTAAAGATAATGTCAGAATCCAATTATATTTCATCTTTAGTTATCAAATATAGAAAACCCCAATTCTGCCTTCTCTGGATTCTGCCATAAGAGGGAGAGAAGGGGGAGAACAAAGGGGCTTTATGGCCCTCACTTCTTTCAGTATACTTCTAAGGAACTGAATGTGTGTATTGCAACTTCAAAGAGTTTGAAGGTGGTTAGCACCAAAAGGCCTCATCATAACAAAGGAGGCTATTTACCTTTCATGTAGTTTATCTGAAGTCTCCATCCAGACGGAAGAAAGGAGAAAAGGGGGTGGGATTGTGATGCCTGAAACTGTCACTGGAAGAGGGGGGTGATTGGGTGGGACTACTGGGGAACCCCTTAAAACCTCGAATGGGAGAGCTTGAACCCCAAGTCCTGTCTAGCACGCCTGCAACGACTTTTTCTTAATAAAAGATTCCTGTTGGAAGAATTATTCCAAGAGTTCTGTCTTCTTAAGATGCAAAGTGGGGTGGGTCCTTACAGATAAGGTAATAAATAAATACTGAGTGATAATTGGTACTGCCTTAACTAGATCTTAATTAAGAAGACATTTATAAATATTTATAAATATCCACACTTTAAATAGTTGTGTATCATACATGCAGTGATATCCCAACACAAGTTTGGTAGGACAGGTTTGATTACTCCTTCTTGGTAACAAATTATTGTGTTGGATTACTGGAACACTCTGAAGTTTGGCAGGCCTTCCAAAAATCATTAATGATCTGGTTTGCCCCCCAAGCACTGTGATAGGATGAGATGACTGCATGTCAGAAACTTAACTTGGTGCCAGGTTTTTGTTTTTAATGTTTATGGTTTTAATGTAGTTTTTTATATTGTTTTATTATTGATATTGCTATTGTTTTGAAACTCAGTTGGAAGAGACCCAGAATTTGGTATAAAATGGAGGGCTCTGTAAATGTATTCAACAAATAATTAAATAAATATAACTCATGTTCATTTTTATTTAGTATGGATGTTTAATTTTATGCATTTTCTACAAATATGCAAGTTTTGCTCCTTTTTACTCATTTTGGAGCATATTCAGCCTCTTTGTATTGTAATGCTTATTTTTGAAGCTTTCTGTTTACCACGCTATTACTTTTGTAATCTCTGGTGTATTATTTATTTGGATTGATGCTTTGTCAACATTTCTAATTGCCTATTTATCTGCTTTCTGGCTGAAATAACACTTCAAACATTCCTCCCATCACTACCACCCTGCCATTTTCCCTACTTACGTGTGAACTTAATTTGTTTCATACACTAAGTATTCAGTACTAAAATTAAAACGTTTTAAGTTTTAAATGCCCAATTAAGGAATTGATTGAGGTAAATCAAAGGGAAGTCTGCATAAAACACACACACATACAGATATGCCTCAGAAGAAAACTAAGGAAGTGGAAACACAAGAGAGAAAACAATTTGTGTTATCTCCAAAAGAAACCCTATGATTTTTATGGTTTTATCTGACAGTAAGAAATAAGTAGAAAAATGTAATCTTTTATCATGATGTCGCAATTCAGGTTGTATCATATATGTATCACCATAGCAGATATACTATCCTTGTCTATTAAGAAAAATAGAAATATTGTTCCATGTTCAATGGAATGCTGTGAGTTAATCTGCTTAAATTCTGTTAATTATAACTTTATTATTCAGAGCAACATAAGATGAAAATAACCAATGCAGATAGTAAATAGTACTGCATTCTTTCATTAAATGTATTTGATTTCTCTAAATGGACAGTGGAACTTACATGAATAATTTACAAATGCAGTTGAACATTGATGATCTCCTTCTTTATATCTTTTGCTTGTCATGCAATAGATCTGATATGTTATTGTTGGAAATATTCACCAAACTGAAATAAATATCTTAGCATTTTATTCAATACTGAAGAGATTTTATACATGCACTGGTGCAATTTATAATTGGCTTAATTTTTTTTAAAGATCTTTAAAAGTTTAAGTTTTTTAACATTTAAATTTGAAAAAACTTCTAAAAAGTTATCTGTAAACTTTTAGATCAATCATAATTCAGTAGAAATGTAGCTGACATTTATTAAATAATATTAAAATATCATGTGCATTGTATGTATTAGATTAATATTTTGTGTCTCAATTGCAGAAAGAATTTGATGTAATTTTTTAAATTCAGAATGGGATCAAAAAACAAAATTGTATAGCTTGTCACAGTAAGACAAACAATGTTTAGAAAATTTCCAGATTATGATAAGAAAACTGATGATAAGGTTGAACAAACATTTGAATGGTTAGGATATGTTAACTCTGAAGCAGTTTTAAGTATATAACTAATTTTAGTATTCTGCATTTAGATTTAATATTTCATGTCTAGAACCTCACAGGGAAACATCAAAAGTGGTATACATCTATCAAGTTGTTTCCCCTTTCTCTGTTTTTTAGGATCCCCTGCCTTATATATGAACATTATAAGGTGCATCTCTATTTCCATTCTGAATGCTAGTAAAAAATCACAATGGGAAAGTGGCAAGCCACAGTGAAGGATCTTACATAATACGAAGTCTAGTATATTGTCTCCCTTAAATACATATGGTAGAAATAATATTGAGAGCAAACACAAAATGTATTTTTAACTCTTTAGAATTGTGTGTTTTTATTGTTTTTATTGTAGTCAAAATATTGTTAAATATAGTTGGTCCTCGACTTATGACCACAATTGAGCCCAAAATTTTGGTTACTAAGCAACACAGTTGTTAAGTTGTTAAGTGAGTTTTGCTCTACTTTACAACCTTTCTTCCAATACTTGTTAAATTTATCACTGAAGTTTTAAGTCACTAACATGGTTGATAAATGAATCTGGCATCCCCATTGACTTTGCTTGTCAGAAGGTCACAAAAGGTCATTGGATGACCTTGAAACACTGCAACCATCACAAATACATGCCAGTTGTCAAGCATCTGAATTTTGATTACATAATCATTGGGGATGCTACAATAGTCGTAAGTGTGAAAAAGGGTCATAGGTCACTTTTTTCATCATAACTTCGAACGGTCACTAAATGAATGGCTGTAAGTCGAGCATTTGTGTTAAAAATGGACTTATATGTTCTACAGGTTTATTTTATTTTTTTATTTCTCAAGAAATAAAAATTTACAATTACATCAATTCACATGAAGTTTCATCTTTCTCTTACAGTGTCCCAACATTCCAGAGCCTCCCTGAAGAGATACTTAGTAAGCTTGCTGATGTTCTTGAAGAGGTATTTGATTTTAATTTGGGGACATAGTTTAAGGAATGAAGTAATCAATCTTTTGTCATGAAAGTATTTCAGGTCTGCCCTATTGGGACATTTCTGCTAAATAAAAATATTGTACTTGGAAAAAAATGTCCTATTGGTTAGGGATGCCATGATAATATAATATATTTTAATTGTTAGGTACAATTCTGAGGTCATTGTCAACCACAGGAAAATCAGGAAGGCCAGGCTGTTTAAAATGAATATAAAGGTTTATTGCAAATGCATGCTGTCTACAAAAAATCTGAACTACTAGCAGTCAAAGGAAATGGGCAGTAGATAAGAATCAGTGAAATTCAAGGTGGGCTAGACTTAGATCTTTTGTGAGTACAAAAGACTGATGACACATTTGACCCTCCCTCGGACTCAGCTTGGTCATGTCCTACAGCAAGAGTATCAAACTGGTGGCCTGCAGGCCAGATTTGTCACGTGCAGGCCATGCCCACCCCAACTACGCAAAGGCAAAAAACATCTCAATACATCATGATACGTCATGTGATACGATGAAGTTTGACAGCCATGTCCTACAGACATACTCAGCTATGGCATTAATAGTGGTGTAAATAGGATTTGTAAATAGGACTTTAGAACTATACATTTTGCAGTTGACCTTCCATCATACCCCATCCCATCCCACTCCAAATATGTAATATAAATTTTTATATGTAATATAAATTCAGCCCACATACTATAATTTGGATGGGCTGCAGCACTGAAGAACTCTCATGATAGAACAGGTCTCAGCTATAAACTAACATAGCTTCATGGGAATTGTATACTTTAAATTCTCGTATATCAATAGATTAAGTTGGGCATGATTGATTTGCACAATTGATATCTCAACTCCCAGACTTTTGGTGACAAGGACATTTCCAAAATTCATGGAAAGTCAAGTGATGTTAAGAAATATAAGGATCAAGCCTCTTCCTATAGTTTTCATTCTTCTATTTTTCAAGATGGAAAAAGGGAAAGGAAAGGGACTTTAAGTGTCTAGAACAGCTTTTTTTCAAATATTTCTTAAAAAGCCAGGAAGATAAATTAATTTTAAACCAAGCCCAGTGGAACCCATTTGACATTATTTCTAATTTTAACTGATTCGGAACTACAGAAATTTGGGAGCAGTTTATCAGCATAAGTAAGTAGTTAATTTGGTCCAGTAAATAATCCCAGGTAATTACTTCATTGGAATGTACTTCTGTATGCTTTAAAATGCAGTGCCCCTCTCTAACTTAGGCCTCTTGGAAACTGATGAATTTTTCACTGATTCTAATGAAATCAGTTCCTAGTTCATATGTATCACTCTTGTGGAATTATAGCTTCTTTCTGCTCTGCCACGTCAGTGGAATTTTAATGATTTAGGTTCTTGAAATCCCTAACAATTAAGATACATTAATTGTTAGAATTCTGAAGACATGTTTTCAGAACATTAGCTCCTTAGGGAATATGTCAAATTTGTGCTTATTCAATCAAAATATACATATTAATTTCATATCAAACAACTTATGTTACTTATCTTCCTAATTACTACTGTTGCACCTGCAAAATTACATACTTATAAGTCTTGCAGGAATAATTAAAGACCATTAATATGTCATCTTTATGTGTTGATTGTAGGATATCTGTACATAGAAAACTGTTTTTTTCCTGTATGATTATCAATTTCCACTTACACTTGACCACTGTTAGCTAATGTTAAAATAATGAAAGAAAATAACTACCAATTCTCTTCAAAGGGATTGTTTTTGACATTTTAAAACAAGCTCCTTTTTCGACTTGACATTTATTAATATTTATCAGTTGCCTTTTGTACTTCCATCTAGCTTGTGGACGAACTAACAATTTAACATGACAATGATGGCTTTTTCTTGGTTTCTTTTACATTCAGTTTGGCAGAGAAAAAAATGAGTAGAAAAATATAATGTGTATAGTATATCAATAATCTGTTTCTTTTAAAAAATCAGGCACAAGTGAGGGGGAAAAACACAGAACAAAAGGGGTAAACTATGTTTGCTTGATTTGAAACAGAAAATAGCTGTGATCTAACGGTAATTCTATATAATCACATGGAAAAATCAATAAAGCATTATAACAGTGTAAAACACTTAAAAGCTTTGAAAAGGAAACATATCTTCTTGAAATATCAAGGCAGCCAAATCTATCAGAAGGCTCAGCCTGACTGCTTGAACTCATTCCCAGGTTGTTTTCTTATTTATTTATATTTATTTTATTTTATATGGCTTTCCATATCATCGTGAAGATGGATCAACAGTGATTACCCAATTTTTACATTGATTAAAATCCAACATAGTAAAGACCACAACAATTAGTTCATAACTGGCAACTGAGATAAAACCACAACCGCCCATCAACATAACTATCTCATGGACACTGCGACATTTATCAACCCGATACAGCCACAGCTTTAAAGCCTTATGAAAGGCCAACAAGATCAGGGATAATCCAATCTCCAGAGGGGCTGATGATCTAAGGCAGGGGTCTCCAACCCCTGGGCCATGGACCAGTACTGGGCTGCGGCATGCCCGCAACCGTACACACAAACAAGCAAAGCCCCATCCGTGGGATGCAGCCAGCACACAAAACCACACACTCTCTGGTGTGCGGAAAAACTTTTCTCCACAGATCTGGTCCCTGGTGCCCAAAAGGTTGGGGACCTTTGATCTAAGGAGCAGGTGGCATCACCACAGGTAGCATCTCACTGGGTCCTCACATGTAGCACTGTTTAATTAGAAGCCAAACACTAGCATGCCTCTCCTGCTGAATCTGACGAGAATAAATTGGAGACAGTCCTTCAAATAATCCAGATGCATTCAGTGAAGGGCTCTATGGGTACCTGTAAACATTTTGAATTGAACCTAGAAGCATACTGTCAACCAATTGTTGTACGGTATCTGTGGGTTAAAGATGCTCATAACTGCCTGTCCTGCTTTTTGAACCAACTGCATCTTCCAGATGCTCTTCAATTGTAGTTGTATAAAGCATTGTATAGTAATCCATGATTTGTGAGGCTCTGTGAAGAGAGCATCTTGGTCCAGGAACAGATGCAATTGGCACAAAGCATAAAGATGTACAAAAGCTCTTGTAGCCAGAGCTGCCACCCATTCTTCAAGCAAAAGCCACACATTCAAAAAAGTCCCCAAACTGCACACTCCAAAATATAAGCACTATATGTACAAGAGCAGGATAATATTTGCATAAGATGATCATAAATGTGGAAGATATCTAGTGCCATTAAGTCTCCTGTTACAACAACATTTTGAGTGCTTCATTTAGAATTTCACTACTTTTGTAAAAATTCACTTCCAAGACAGGGATTCATATTAATAACCTCTCTTAATGCCTTTACTCAAGTACTGCATCTCAATGTTTTTCAAATTACCCTTAGTAATAATTTTTGAACATTTCTACCTCATTTTCCACTGCAGTTATAGTTTTTAAGACAGCTTATAAAATTGTAGAATATCCACAAAACGATAGATATAAAAAAATAACAATTACTTTTTTTAAAAAAAATAGATACATGAGAGTCTTTGCACTGGTATTACATGGTTGGTTAATGTAACATCCACAAACAAATGACAAAGCTGAGAGAGCATGATGTGTGGTGTGGTTTGAATAACACCCATTATGGTTTTCTCATAAGAAATTAGACAAGGTCTGACAGAATTCAGCGATATAAATTATAAAGAAAAAAGGGATTGATAATGAAAAAATTCCATTCAAGTGGGTATTTCATTTAACTAATGGTAGCCCAAAGAACATGCAGGGCATGTAGTAAAAGTAAGGAAGTCAGTAATCCCAGACTAAAAGAGACAAGATAAAAATTACCTTGCACAGTTTTAAAAGTCTGGCTAGCACTCTACAAAGCTACAGATGAAGCCATACCCTATTTCAACTTCCAGAATTGGAAGGAACCTTGGAGGTTTTCTAGTTCAACCTCCTGCTCGAGAAGGAGACTGCATACTATTTTAGACAAATGGCTGTCTAGTCTCTTCTTAAAAGCCTCCAGTGATGGAGCACCCATTTCTCAAGGCAAATTGTTCCACTAGTTGATTGTTTTCACTGTCAGGAAATTTCTCCTTAGTTCTAGATTGCTTCTCTCCTTGGTTAGTTTCCATCCATTGCTTCTTGTCTTGCCTTCTGTTGCTTTGAAAAATAGGTTGATCCCCTTTTTTTGTGGCAGCCCCTCAGACATTGGAACACTGCTATCATGTCACCCTTAGTCCTTTTTTTCATTAAACTAGACATAGCCAGTTCCTGCAACAGTTCATATATTTTAATCTCCAGCCCCCTTTGCTGCTGTTCTCTGCACTCTTTCCAGTCTCAACATCTTTTTTATATTATGGTGACCAAAACTATATGCAATATTCTAAATGTGGTCTTACCAAGGCCTTATAAAACGGTATTAACACTTCACATGATCTTGATCCTATCTGTCTGTTAATTCAGCCTAGGATTGCATTGCCTTTGTTTGGCAACTGCTGTACACTGCTGGCTCGTATTTAACTCATATGTCCACTAGGACTCCAAGATTCCTGCCGCAGTTACTGCTATTGTATTGTATTGCTATTTAATTTATGTTATTATTTTATTATATTTTATTGCATTGCTATTATAGTTATAGCTAAATAAGCAAGACCTCTGTGTACCATCAGCAGAGGAAATTTTATTATTGTGATCAAAAACCACAAATATAGGGCTTCCAGTTTGTGATTGCGGCTCCAGCAGACGTGTGAGGGGAGCGCTCTCTCCGCCATCGGGTTTTTCTTCGTTGGGAGACCCTGAAAAGGGTTGAAAGTCACCCTGGAGGGGCGACAACTGTGAGGAGGACCCTTGACAGATCATGGAAGGGCGGTAGCCCTTCCGTTTGATCCGAGGCAGCTCCTTTGGACTGACGGAGAAAAGATGAGCCATGAACATGGCCGATCACTAAGCCATACCAGCCA